GAGATCATCTTTTGACACAAAAATAGTCACTTGACAGAATCCAAGGCCTGTTTATGATACAAACTATTAGGTTCAACATAGAATCAAACAGTCTCAGCTTGGTAAAGAGCAGCTATGAGAGTTTACAGCTGACATTCTAATTAGGGAGAAAGACTGAACACTTTCCCTTTGGAAACAGTAATAAGGCCAGAACAGCGGTTCTCACCACCACCACACAAGCATCTCATGGAAGTTCCAGCCACTGCCATGAGTCAACAAGATTTTCCAGAAACAGTAGTTACTGACTAGAAATACTAGTAATACTGTAAAATGCTATGTGATGAAGAAAATTTTTAGTTCTTCAGAATAAAAAAAAAAATCTACAGGTTGGAAGAGAAGAAATAAAGCTGCCCTATTTAGATGACATGAATGTCTTTGTACAGACTCCTAGAGCTAGTAAATGAATTTGGTATGGTCTCGGGATATGAGACCAACACACAAACATCAATTGTATTTCTACATATAAACAGTATGTAGAAGACAAAATTTTTCCTTTTAGCCAGAACCACTATCTTCAAGTAATTTGCCAAAATGACCAACATAAAGGGCAAGAGGAAGGGAATCTGGTATATATTCTCTAGGCCTTTCAGAAAACATGAGGTTGTTCCTCTGACCACATACATGGGGGCTCTGCAAAAAGGGTGAGATTGTAGACATTAAGGGAATGGTACAGAGCAAAAAGAAATGCCACACAAATGTTACCATGGCAAAACAGAGAGTCTACAGTGTTACCCAGCATGCTGTTGGCATTGTAAGCAAGCAAGGTAAGGGCAAGATAATCTCCAAGAGGATTAATGTGCTTATTGAGCATATTAGACACTCAAAGAGTCATGATAACTTCCTGAATCATGTCAAGGAAAATTATCAGAAAAAAAAGGAAGCCAAAGAGAAAGATATCTGAAGCGCCGGCTTGCCCCACCCAGAGAAGCACACTTAGTAAGAACCAGTTGAGCCTGAGTTGTTGGAACCTGTTCCCTGTGAATTCATGGCATAAGCTGGGGATGTAGCTCTGCCATTCAGCATCTAATTGGCAGCTTAAGTGTTCTAGATCCTACTTAAAAATAAAAAATCAAGGGGCCGGGGAGATAGCTCGGTAGAATAAGCGCTTGCCTGGCAAGTGCAAGGGCCTGAATTCAATCCCCGGTTCCGCCAAAAAAATAAATAAAAAATCAAGACTGGGTGTGGTGACATGCACTTGTAATCCCAGTGCTTGACAGGCTGAAAACTATGAGTCTGATCTGTGTGGTGAGATCCTGTAGTCTCTATATTAAAATACAAAAAAGAAAAGAAAAAAAATTTCATCCTGTGTTGTAAGGATAGTTTTCTTAGTTGAACGGTTATGTGGTGCTTCTTACCTGAGAAGTATTTGGAGCATATTTTTATTGTAGCTAGTAATTGTGTCTATTCTTTACTCTTCAGTGGTTTTCTTTGCTGAAAAATATAGCTGAAGTATTATGCAGGTGTGTACCCAAATGTCCAGATATTTATGAAATACTTATTTTGGCTTGAAGATCCTGTAAATCACCATGGGTGATGTATCAAAGTAAATGGAAGTCATTTAAGTTAAAAGAAAACAGAACACTGCTTAGGTAAGCGCAGGGACCCAGGTTTGATTCCCAGTTCCACATGCTGCATCAGCCCTGCCGATGGGCACACTGAACTAGTGACCGAGTCCAGGCGTGATGGTGCACGCCTGCAGTCCCAACACTAGGGAGACTGAAAACAGGAGGATCACTGCTATCTAGGCTGCGAAGTGAGACTCTGTATAAAATGCATAAATTAAAAAAAAAAAAGAAGAAAGAAAATTTTAAAATTTTGCCTTTTAGCCAGGGAGATAGCTCATCTGCATAGGTATCTGCCTGAAAAGTACAAGGTCTTGAGTCTGATCCCCGGTACAAAAAAGAAATGAAAAATTGCCTTTTACAGTCACCCTAAAAAAAATTAGGTATATATTTTACTTGTACAAAATCTGTGTGCTGAAAATCATAAAATACTGATGAAAGAAAGTAGAGAAGACATAAATGGAGAGATCTATTGCCTTTGTGTTTTTAAGGACTCGATATAGTAAAAATGTTAATTCTCCCTCAATTGACTTGTCAATTTAAAACATTTTTTAGCAAAACCTAAGCAAGGTTTTGGGGTGGCATAAACATGCTTATTCTGAAACTTATACAGCCCCTGAAAGGTAAAACAATCTTGAAACAAATGGGAGAAGGAAATACTGTACCCAGTATTAATCCCTGCTATGTGACTACAGTAATTGAGACAGTGTGGTACTGCCAGAGGGGCAGGCACATAAGCTACTGAAGCTGAATAAGGAATATGGAAACAGACGCACACAATTATGCCCAACTGTTGGACAGATATAAGAGGTTCCTTAATGAGGGAGGCTGTCATTTCCAACAATAATGGTGGTATATTTGACCAAAATAAAACAACCTCATGCTTTAAACAAAAATTAACTTGAATCTACAATTTACATGTAAAATTGTTAACACTTTAGGGAAAAATATAGAAAGTTTTAGAAGTAAGATTAAGTTCTTACACTTCACACTAAAATCATGATCATTGAAAAGAAAAATTGACATGTTAGGCTTTCATGAAATTAAAATGTTGCTTTGAGGAGGGTGGTAAACATTGCTTATCAAGAGAGCGGTAAAGAGACATACCAGAATTGGAAAAATACTTTCAAACTTTATTTTCAACAAAAGTCCAGTGTCTCAAATATATAAAGAACCCTTAAAAAGAGGACATAAAATGGCAAAGAAGCACATGAAAAGATGTTCAACATTATTAGCTATTAAGGACTGTTAAATTCAGGCTACGATGAGAAATCATTGTATACCTAACAGAATAGCTAAATTATAATTAGTTGTCCCTGAACTCTGTGGGTGGCCAGGCTGGCTTCTGAGTAACCCCGTGCCTCAGCTTTCCCAGCGCTGGGAGCACAGGCGTGTGCCACCACGTGCAGCTAACGCTTGCATCTTTTTTCCTTTTATTTAAGAAATGATCCTTGCATGGCCATTCTGCTGTCTTTATATTCTGCCTCTCAGCACAAGGCTGCCTTGGGGGATGGACTGTGTGTTCAGTGTGGGGTAGGGATTCTGTGGATTTCTACCTGAGAACCCATAATTACTTTGTTACAAATCGAAGCTCCCTCAAAAAATAAAAATTTTTAAAAAAAATAGTGACAGCAGAAATTCAGGAGTGTGGAGAAACTGTAACTCCTGTGGTTCTTACAGAAATGTAAAGTGGTTCCACACCTGAAAAAGCTCAGCAGTTTCTTACTAAATGTGCAACTACCAAGTGACTCAATAACTATACTCTTTAATCCAGAGAAATAAAAACTTAATACAAATGTGCATAGTGCCTTTATTGGCAGTAGTCAAAAAGCCAGAAACAACCCAGTGACCTCAGATGTGTGACTGGTTAAAACACAATAGTGCATCCATCCCATGGAATACTAATGGGAATTGGGGACAACTATTGGTACAGCAGTGAGTTGAATGACTTTAGGGATGATACTGTTAGAAAAATCAATCTCATGCAGTTGCATACTCTGTGAATGACTCCATTTATACAGCACTTGTGAAATGACATTACAAAAGTAAAGTTTAGGGGCCGGGGAGATGGCTCAGTGGAATAAGCGCTTCTCTGGCAAGCGCAAGGGCCTGAGTTCAATCCCCGGTTCCACAAAAAAATAAAAAAAGTTTAGTGTTTGCCAGCATGTCAGGAGGGAGGAGACCCAGGAAAGTGAGTAGGGCTACAGAACAACAGGGAGCTTTGTGATCATGGAGATTTTTCTGCGTCTTGACTGATGTTTGTCAGTATCCTGGCTATAATACTGTAGTATGTAGTTTTATAAAAAACGTTACCTTTGGGGACTATAACTTAAAGGGCACAGAGAGCTACATTTATAGTTGCATGTGAAGATACAGTTCTTTCAAAATAAATTTATTTTTAAAAAAAGTATAGCAAAGCCAGGCATGGTGGCACACATTTGAAGGCTCAGTATTCTGGAATGCTGAGGTGGGAGGATTGCAAATTTGAGCCCTGCCTAGGCAACTTAGCAAGACCCTATCTCAAAATTTAAAAATATGATTAACTGAGCTTCGTCCATATGACATATGAATAGTTGATTTAAGGTTGGGTGTGGAACTACTCAAACTCTTGTTTTTACTGTAATGTTAATTTTATTCAATATTTGAGGGGCTGGTGAGATGGCTCAGTGGTCTAAAGCACCTACTTAGAACAAGCTTAGCAAAGCACAGGGACCGCGGTTCAATCCCCCAGCACCACATGCCAGCCAGCCCTGCCCCCTGGTGGGCTGAGCTGGCCTCCCCACACATAAATAAATAAAATCAATATTTGAAGATTCAAGAGACTTACAGTTTCTGAAATTTGATTAGTCACTGATCTGAATTTTCAGTAGTTAAGACTCCTCACATTTTAATATGAATTTAACATATGTCTTAGAATTAACATTGATAAGATCTTATTTTACTTGACAGTTTTTACGGGTTTAATGGTAAATTCAGTGGTATTATTTTGTGGTGGGGCATTAGGCATTATTTACACCTCCAGTGAACCCTTGCCTTAGAACGCATGCGTTCCGTAGGGCTGTAAGTCAGGTTGCCAGTCAAGGAGCTCAGGCTCCTCCACACAGCCTTCAGTCTCTCCTGCACACAGGCAGATCTCAGTGTCCTTAAACACTGGCCCAGGATTTCTCAATTAACGCCTTACAGGAAAACGTTGTGAAGTTCCTTCCAGAACTCTTAAAGAGTTCCGTCTGTATTTGAGACCATCTGGAATGGAAGCACAGGTGACCACCATTCAGGTCTAACTGAAGACTTTAGTCATAAGTTAAAACTAAAGTTGCCATCCTCACTCAAGGCTCTGCTGTATATAAATACTAAAACCTCAGTTTCCTTCACCTTTTCTTTTTTCCTTTGTTTTTCAAGTATCAATATACAGTATCTGGTTTTATGACAAGAATGACTGTCACCGCATAGCAAAGCTCATGGCTGAGTAAGTATTCTTATTACTTTATAAATTTAATTAATGAGATGTAAGAAATGATTTTTTTATTGCCAAAATTTAAAGGCATAAAAAATGAAATCTAAAATTGTCTATAATCTTGCTACTCTCTATGTTTATATTTTGAGTCTTTCTTTGTATATGTAGCTTAAATTTGTAGGTATGATTATTTTTAAAATATATATATATATGTATATATGATAATTCTGTATATCCTACTTTTACTGTCACCAGTAGTTTTTTAGGTTGTTATATTTTCCTTTATAAACCAGGTATAATGGTACATGCCTGTTAATCCCAGCACCCAAGAGGCTGAGGCAGGAGGATCATTGCAAGGTCGAGACCAGCCTGGGCTACAAAGTGAGCTCAAGGCCAGCCTGAGCTGCATAGTGAGACCCTGTCTCAAAAAGATCAAAAAAAATTTTTTTTTTCTTTACAGCATATATAATAACTGCATCATATCTAATCCTAAGGCTAGTTCATAACTTAACCACAACTTTACTCTAGGTTAGGGCTGACAAACTGCATAGCTCCAAAGACTGTCAGTACATCTGGAGCACAACCTGACTGCCATATGCAGTGGCTACTAAAATTTCCATTGTAATAAGTGATACTGTGTTCAGTATCCTGGTAGAAAACTCTAGTACTTGTCTGTAATGAAATACTCTCAGTGAACTTCTTATTGACACAGGCAATCTTTATCAGGCTTCAACTCACTAATGGATTATCTTCCAGAAGAGTTTTTGTGACTGAAAATCTAGAATTTTGGCAAATGTCTTTCACTGAATTTAGGTTCTAAAGGGACCCTCAGCCTACATAAGCTCCTGTGGCCCAGCCATATTTCTAGACTGCCAAGCTAGATTCTGGGAGCTTTAACACTCATTTTGAGGGGCCCAAGAGCTTGCAGAGCTCAAGGAAAATACTGCAACAGACAGTGTTTCTGGTGGGCTTCTGCTTCCTCTTTAGTTTTTGCCTGAATATTCTCAAAAATATGGCTCTCTTCCCCCTCTGTCAAATCAGAATTCCCTTTTTCTCTGCAAAGTTTGTGCCTCAGGTTTTTTTGTTCTTTGGTCAAAATGTGCATACAAAGTTAAAGGAAAAAAGATTTTATTTTAGCTCACAGTGTAGAGGTTTCAACCTGCAGTTGGCTGGCTCCAAGGCAGGGCAGCATGGAGAGGGCATCGCACAGGAGGATCAGTCTGAGGCACGGCAGGCAGGAAGCAGCAGAGAGCAGCAGCAGCAAGCCTCCTTTAAGACAGAAGCTGTTCATGTATGAGTTGTTTTTTTCTAAACTAAAGCCTCAGTATTCAGGTTGAAATGAAATGTTGACACTTTGTAATAAGTAAGTAGGTTTTGGGTTGGCATTTGGGCCCTCAGTCTCTAAAAACTCACAATCAAGAGCCCTAGATCCAGCAACCTCTGAAAAGCCCCACCTGTGAGCACATGAGCCTTCGGGGGAATGTGGAGGTAGAGACTCTAGCAGTTTGTATCTACATGTATGGAAGAACAGTCATAATTTTTTAATAGTCTAATTTATAATGAATTATCTTAAAAGTATAGATAATTGACATTAAAACCTCAATTCTAGGTGTATTGGTGCTGGAGATTAAGCCCAGAGTATATCCCTTTGGTAAAGTAAAAAGAGATTTTATTTTGTTTTTATGGGTCAAGGGTCTTGATTTGTAGTTCAGGCTGACCTTAACTTCACTGTGTAGGCCAGGCCAGCCTTGAACTCACAGAGATCCTCCTGCCTTAGCCTCCTAAATAATGATATTACACATGTGCATCTCCATGCCCAACTTAATAAAAAAAAAAATTTAGGGGTTGGGATACAGCTTAGCGGCAAAAGCACCTGCCTGACCAGCACAAGTAAGCGGCCCATTTTCATTAATCATTCTCAGAATTCTCATTTTTACTTCAAACACACTTACCTCATCATTTTTGCCATTTTTTGAAGCAGTTCTAGAAGTCCTCCTTTGTTGTACTGTCATGGCTTTCTCTATAACCTAAATCAGTTCTAAACCTTTCCCTTTTGTGGTCATTGTAACTATGAGGAAGAGCCAGGAGTCGCATGCTGCCGGATCTGGTGACTCAGGTGGACCTGCACGTGTCATGTCTCTGTGGGCCTTCCTTTCCACTGGGTGGCACCTGGCAGCCACACTCACATACTGATACACCGCAAAAAAACCTCGCGAAAGAGGCCCTCCACACGTACTTCAAAAAATGGCAAGAAAATAGGGGAGATGTGTTCAGGGCAGAATGGATATTGTGCCAGGTATGGGGTACATGCCTGTAATCCCAGCACTAGGCTGAGGCAGGAGAATCGTTGAGAGTTGAAGGTCAGCCTGAACTGCATGGCGAGACCCTGTCTCAAAAAGACCAAAACAAAAGAGAAGGGTTGTGAAGTAAATTTATCTTTTACTCTCAGCATTCACTATATATTTTGATTATCCTTTATGGCAACCCAAGAAAACTGAGCCTGTCTAACAGAGGGCCACAGTTTTGACACCCCTGTAATTGGAGACAGAATCTCACTGAGTTGTCCAGATTGTCCTTAAACTTTTTTAGACCTCCTTCCCCAGCCTTCCAAGAGCTGGAATTACAGATTTGTGCCACCATGCCCAGTCCTATTTAATACTGTCTAACCTACTGCTTGTTAACATTGTTGCCACACACACTAAAGGGAATGAACTGACATTGAGAGACTATTCTTGTATATTCCCGTATATTCCATTAAAACAACGCTTTTGGACTGGGGAAATAGCTCAGTGTCATAAGCACCTGCCTGGCAAGCACAAAGTCCTGAGTTCAATCCTGAGTTCAGTACTCTACTTTCCTGAGTACTGAAAGAAAGGGGGTGGGGGGAAGAGTGAAAGAAACCTTTCACTCTTGAATTGTCACAGTCATTCTCTATCAAGTTCTCAGTTAATTATAGTTTGGGGCTGAGCTACAGTTGGTGGAATAGTCCTGTAAACCCAGAGTGTTGAAAGCCTGAACAAGTTTAAGCCCAGGGTTGGCAAGACAGCTCAGTACACTAAGTACCTGCTTTTACAAGTGTAGCTACCAGGGTTCGATCCCCATCCTGCATGTGTGCACTGAGCCAGTGATCGAGTCCCAGTGTGGTGGTGCACAACTGTAACCCCAGCACTGGGGAGGCTGAAAACAGGAGGATCACTATGAGTCCAAGCTGCATAGTGATACCCTATACCAAAAACATGAATGAAAATAAATAATTTTAAAAAGTTTAAGCTCAGCCTGGACAACTTAGTGAAACCCTGTCTCAAAATAAAAACAGTCTGTGGCTGTGCCCATAAAAATCTCATGAAGGTGAACTTGTTCATTAGAACTAACATCTGAATATTTTTTTTAAAAAATAGTGGTTGCTTTATTAAAACTTTTACTTATTTCAGGCTTGAAGAACATTGTCAGAAAATATCCATATGCTCTTCACTCACCTTTTAGTTCCCAACATTTTGCTCTAATTCCTTCAAACCTCTCTATTTAGGGAATGAAGAAGTTGTTTAAAAAAAAAATAAAAATAATAAAAATTTTAAAAAAGAAGTTGTTTAAACATGAAAGCCTACACACTGACTGCTGTGGTATACCCCCGTAATTCCAGGATCTTGGAAGTTGAGGCAGGAGACCTACAAGAGCCAGACCAGCCTATGCAATTTACCCAGACTTTTATCTTAAAAAATTGAGAAGAGCTAGGGATCTAGCTCAGTACTCCCTGGTTCAGTCTCTAATACTGCCAGAAAATCATTGGTATGCTTAACTGAGACTTTTGTTGCTTTGTGGATTTGGGCATCATGTGTACACCTGTAATCCCAGAACTCGGGAGGCTGAGAGTTCAAAGTCAGCCTAGGCTTATAGAGTTGAAGGCCAGTCTGAACTACATAGGAAGACCTTGTCTGGGGGGAGGGAAACAGAAAACTGAAATTAAGTGCATTCCCACAAACATCCTGCGCTCAGTCACCCACTTAATGATTTTTTTTTTTTTTCCTAGAGCTGGGGATTGAACTCAGGCCCTTGCACTTCTACTGAGCCATCTCCCCCAACCCCCTCTTAATGATTTCAAGGGGGAGACAAAAAGGGGAAGCTTTTTGTTTCTTTGTAATGTTATCATTAGCTTTTTCACCAAGACCCATTTTTAAGACTTGACCTTGTCAGTGCAAATTAGTCATGTGTCGTTTTTCAGATTTACTGTGCCACTTAGTTTGACTGATTGTCAGCAGCTTGTGGGAAACACTTAGTGGAGTTTTAATGTACCTGCGTACACCACCACTAGAAAGGAAGGTGAAACACAGTGGTGCTGTTGTGAATGAAATGGTGAAACCGTAAGTTGTGTTTCTGGAATGCAGCAGCTAAGAGCAGCACTTTGCCTTGCGGGGACAGTGTCATCATTTGACACTTACATGTCTTGGACTCCAGAAGAGTTCTTGGGCTAGACCATGTCTGCAGAAGCCTTTCTGAAATCTGACTCTCCTCATCTAGTGTGGTAGAAGAAGAGACACGGCGATCCCAGCAAGCTGCCCGAGATAAGCAGAGCCCCAGCCAGGCCAATGGCTGCAGTGACCACAGGCCTATCGACATCCTGGAAATGCTGAGCAGAGCCAAGGATGAGTACGAGAGGGTAAGGCTCTCTGGAGTGCTGGGTACCAGAGGAGGGGCGGGCGGGAGGCGTGCAAGAGGCTCGAGTTCACTGAGACCTTCGCCCCGAGGGCTAGCAGTAATAATTGGTTCAGAATGGAAGCATGTCCATCACTTCAAGTCTGAAAGATGCTCACTAGCGGAAAAGTTTCAATTTTTTCTTTTTCATTTAACCATAGTGGAATTATCTTGGAAGAAATTGGGGTGAAAGGGTGGAAGTTGAACCACAGCAAGTAGTTCTAGAAAAACGTCGTGCCCTTCTTCCTTCTGCAGTCTCTTATTAGGATGTTAAATGGTCTTGGGGATTTATGTAGGCTTTGAAAAGTATTCTGACAGTTTACCTCTCATAATACTAAAATGTACATTTGTGGTCAGTAAGTGATAGGAAGTACACAGCCTTCCCTAAGCATAATTTTAATTTTGCCCAAATGTGAAGTTTTTCTGAGATTGTTTTCTATCTCTTCTGCTTTGCATTTTACCTTTTCACTGCTAAAATTTTCTCTTACAAATTGAATAAAATGACAGTTGTAGTACACTAAGTAAACCATTCGACATAAACATATGAAGTGTTCAGTATGTACAAAGCAGTGGACGTTCTGTGGTAGTGTTTCAGCCTTATAGCTGTGAAACTGTCGTGGCTTTTCATTCAGTGTCAGTACCTCAAAGCCTTGTGTTTCCTGGGGTGAGACCTGAAAGTTCTGCTACTGCATTTCATTACAGCAGAACTACGATTGTTTATTCACTGAACATTAAGAAAACTGCTTTATTTTCATTTGTTTATCTCCAACCCATTAAAACCTTAAGAAACAGGAGTGTGAGAAACTTATTTTAAGACATGTTTCCCAGACAGTTCTGCTAAAACACTAGCTTCTGGGTTATTAATAAATGATTCTTGAGGGCTGGCTAAGTAGCTCAGCAGATTAAAGTGCCTGCTTAGGCAGGTGCAGGGGCCAGGGATTTGAGCCCCAGGCCTGTTGTCCCACCATCCCCCACCCCCGGGGGGCGCGCTGAGATGGCAATTGAGACTGGGTGTGGAGGCGCCCACCTGTAATCCCAGCTCTTGGGAGGCTGTAAACAGGTGGATCACTACGAGTCCAATCTGGTAGTGAGACCCTGAACATCCTGTAGACCCTTCCCTAAAATAGAAAAAAAAAAAAAAAAAAAAGAATGATCTCGCAGTAGGTAAAGCAATGCTGCCAATTCCCAGATCAGTTTCACGACAGGACTATTTTGTACCTACTACCCTACAATATCTCAATCTGGAGTTTAGGCAGCAAAGTTTGAAAAAAGTATTCTGGAAGGTAGTTGTACTATAAGTTATAAAACTATATAGTTCTGGGGAGTTGGCTCAGTAGGATAAGCGCTTGACTGGCAAACGCAAGGATCTGAGTTCAATCCCCGGTTCCGCAAAAACAAAAAAAAAAAAAATCTTAAAAACTATATAGTCTGTGGCAATACTAGGAAAGCAGTCGTCTCCATTATACATATTCAATGATTCATAGAAAAATGAGTGAATAAATTTTGAGAGTCATATTTCAGATTTAAAGGTTGTCTTAAAGGCTGCGAACGTATGAGCCAGGGATATAGCTCAGCAGCACAGCAGCTGCCTGGCAAGCGTGAGGTCATGAGTTCAATTCCTGGTAACAAAACAAAAAGGCTGGGAATGCACTGGAATCAGCAGTGCAGCCCTTGCCTCACATGCTTGTTCTTCTGGGTTTGAGCTCCAACACTCCAGAAAGAAAGAAATTCCCCAAATCCCGTCCTATACCCATCATGAAGTTTGGGTCATTATTTTGCTTTTCAGGGCCTTTTACTATTCACTGTCCCTAGCAGTGACTGTATCAGGGTTCCCCATAATACGGAACTGTGGGTGCTGTGCACTAGGGAAAGTACTCGAAGCAATCGGGCTTACTCCTCAGGCTGACAAGCAGCTAGTCACAGAGGAAAGAAATAAGCAGCCCTTATTGTTGGCCTTTTTATTTCGTTCAGCTTTTGTTTTTGCTGCTGGGGTGAAACTCAAGGCCTTGCACATCCTGAGCGTATGCCCTCCTTCTTAGCTACACTCAGCCTTACTCTTGTACACAAAGTTTTAAAGGGACTCTGGTATTAAGTGTACGGTCTAAAAGTCTAGTGCGATTTCTAATTGTATCACCAAAGGAATAAATAGAGTGTCATCATTTGACTTGTAAAGAAAATTCTTCCCCAGTACAAAATAATTTATTATCTAAGGTTAGATTAAAATGGAGCTTTTGGGAATTTAATCATAGACTTTTCCTTTATAATATAGCCTTATTTGAAAACTGTAAAGAGGTATAGCCTTATTTTTATTAATATAGTACATGTTTGCAGTACATATGTTTAGATTCATTGTGGGGAGTAAGTACATGGACACAAGACACAACTTTTATTTTGAGGGATAGGGAGCAGGTGTGCTTTGAGACAGGGCTGGCCTGGAACTCACTCTGTGGCCCAGTGGACTCAGACTCACAGAGCTCCTACGGCCCCGTCCCTGCTAGGCATAGATTTCTTATTTTCTTGTCTGCACTTCTGCCTTTTTATTGGCAATAACTATTCCGAGTCCCAGTGAGATTGCATTTGAGGAATTGTTTTAAAAGAACTGTGATATAAATAGCTGTATATTTTTTCACTTTGTGCTTTATACAAACAATATCCTAGATTTCTCTGATTCTTTCTGTTAAGAACTTGGCAATGCTGCTGTGGAGCTAGGTCTTTTTGTATTCACTATTAACTTTTTCCTAAGATAGGGCCAGTGAGATAGCTCAGCAGTCCAAAGCACCTGCTTAGGCAAGCTTAGGCAAACTCAGGGACCGCAGTTCAATCCCTGACACCTGATGCTGCGCCAGCCCCACCCCAAGTGCAGGCTAAGCCAGCCACAAAATAAATTAATTAATTAAACTTTTTCCTAAGATAAATGACTTGAGAAGAAATTGTTAGAGCAAAGAATTTTGACATTTTTGAAAAGATTTTACCAAGTGTTGTAAAATTACCCTCCAGCAAGTTTGTCTGAGGTGTGCATTTGCCCTAAGTGTTTCAGACACTGAGTGTCTTCATCTGGGAAAGCTTCACCAGAGCCCTACACAAGAATCAAAGATAAGATTCTTCAGAGCTGTATCCTACAGTGCGTCGTGACAATATAAGCCCATCTCATAGCTTAGATACTGCGAACTCAGATGCCCTGGAGCCAGGCAGTGAGGAAGCAGGCGGACTGGGAACCGAGGCACGCTGCAGGCCTGCTCCCTCTGCAGAGTCAGCCCGAGCTCAGGGCCAGCAGTGGTTGCCAGGTGACCTGGCGTTGCCGAATCATTCAGGCTCCCTCTGGAAGTAATAAGTCTGGATTTTTATAGTGCAACTCCCAACTGTTGTAATATTTCCGAGCATTGTGTCTTGTTTTAAGAACTTTTTACATGGGCTGGGGCTGGAGAGCTGTGCTAGAGCTCTTGCCTGTCGTGCATAAGGCCCTGGGTTCAACTGCACAAAAATAAAAATTTTGAAAAATAGGAACTTACTATGAAAAATATTTTGAGTTTCTATAGCTCTAATATACAGTAATATTCAGATCATGAACTTAACTATTTCCATAATTTTGGTTGCAAGCTGAATTGGTTGAGAATTGAATCAAATTCGATGATTATAGATTTAATGTTGACGTTATGTGTGAATTTTTAAACATTCAATTCTAAGCATTCTCTATGGTACATTTGCTGGTTATGGGATGCTGCTTGAAAATAGGTTGTCAGAAGATTAAGATAATTTGTGGGCCTCCACAGACTGCTTCACCCTTCTCAGCTGGGTAGCACTGAGTAAATGCTCGTGTGAGTCATTAGCAGTAGGCCACTTGAAGGGAGGAACTGCGTGTTGTCCACCCCTGAACGCTGAGTGCCTGTTCCTGCGCTACGCATACACCTCTCGTGTGTGTTCTTAGCGTGGTACCGAGAAACTCAGTGTGTCTCTGCAGTTAGCGCTGCTTTTTTATGTATTTTTAGGACAGGGTCTGTAGGGTCTCACTACATAGATCGGACTCATAGTGATCCTCCTCTGTACAGTCTCCTAAGACCTGGGATTACAGGCGTGCGCCACCACGCCCAGTCTCAATCCTGGTCTCAGTGTTCCTCGTGGCGGGGCCAGCATGGCAGGCCTCGCAGGCCTGGGGGGGGGGGGGGGTCAAACTTCCGGCTCCTGCATCTGCCCAATCCGCTGAGCCATTTGGCCAGCTCTGCTTCTTTTTTTTTTTTCTCCTTCTTCCTTTTTGTTTTTTTCTTCTCTTTCCCACAGTCATTTGTTTTGATATGCACAGTGTTCACCAGATACTGAATCAGATAGTTCAAATAAAATTTATTAACTCCATGTCTGTCAATTTTTTTGTTTCCTTTTGACTTTTTTGAGATGGTTTCACTACGTAGTTCAGGCTGGCCTCAAACCTATGGTGATCCTTCTGCTTCACCCTCCTGAGTCCTGGGATGACAGGTGTGTGCCACCACTCCTGGCGTCCATGTCTGTCTAGTAACCATTTTAAGAACAAAATATTTTCAATTGTAGTGTCATATGCAAGTTAGAACTTAATGATGGTCATATAGTTGGATATGCACACATACAAAAATGAACCTCAACCTAAATATAAAATCTTACATAAAAATCAACAGTATCACAGATCTAAATATAAAATATGTAACTTTTAAGAGAAAAATATATATCAGCAGAAATAACAAAAGTGAATGAACTATTAATACCGTTTAGCAACTTGAATGAATCTCAGAGGCATTAAGCTAAGTAAAAGAAGCCAGCATTCTGCTTATATTCCATTTGTATGATACTTTTTGAAAAGGCAGGGCTGGCGAGATAGCTCAGTGGGACTAAAAGGCTCCTGCTTAGGCAAGTGCAAGGACCGCAGTTCAATCCCCCATACCACATGCTGCGCCAGCCCCGCCCCGAGGGCAGGCTGAACTGGCCACAGAGTCTAGGTAT